GGCGACCGGCCGACGAGGCCAGCCATTCAGCCAGACCGGCCGACCTCGTCCTGACGATCTCGTTGGACGGGCAGTCGGAGCGTTGTCTGCCCGACCTCTTCCATCCGCTCCTGCTGAAAGCGCCCTGGAGCGCCGGCCGACTCACCCTGCGCCTCCGCCACGATTGGCTCCACCGGCAGCGCTGCCCGCCCCCGGCGGACTCGAGCGAGCCAAGCGCCGCGCCGGCACCGGCCTCGTCCGCGTCGCCCTCTCGACGCCGCCTCGAGGCGCGCCGAGACGAAACGGCGACGGCGACGGCGACGGCGACGGCCCGGCTCGTCGGCGACGACGAGGCCGTGCTGCATCGCGCCGTGCTCACGAGGCTGAGCATCGTCGACGGCGCCGGCAGTCCTCGAAGGCCGCGATGAGGCGCCCCACGTCGGCCGAACATGTCGGCAGACGAGTCCTCCTGCTCGCCGGCGTCCGGTACACACCCCCCGTGTTGGGCTCATTGGTTGTGCGGTGTGCGCTGCGGCTGTGCCTTTCGTCCCCAGCCCGTTGTCACGAGGAGAGCGTGTCTTCGCCTGCCTTTCGAGCGCGCAACCAGCCAGCACCGAGGACAGAAAGACAGACCAGACCGACGCCTGAAAGTGATTGGCCGAGTTTTACGCCATTCCGTCGCCAAGGCGACGCAAATGGTCGACAAAGTCGAGGCCAGACCGAGGCGGCCAGCCAGGAACCGGGGCCGCGCGCGGTATCCGACGTCGTCAGATGGCCTCGATATCAGCTGACTTGTCCTCTCGTCGGGCGGAGCAGCATCCGATTGATTTCTGCCTGTCGCTCGGTTGCCGGCCTGGCGACAGAGTGGACTTCGGATCAGCTCAAGCCTGGCTCAGGCGAGGCGACGATCAGTCGCTGGGAGGAGTGGACCCACACGGGATTGTATGGCTTGTCTGTGACACGTGTCTGTTGTGTCTGTGCCTACGTGTTGACGGGTGGGGCGGCGCCAACTGCTGATTGGTTCTGGATGGGGGTGGATGGCTGAAAGTCGATCCGGACGAGTCGTCCGGTCACCGTCGCAACTGACACCACATCGACAGCATCCAATTGTCCTCGAGTCAAGCGACTTCAGTGCCCGTATGCATACGTCCTTGTGTGACTAGGTGTGCGCGCGTTTGCTTGTGTGGGTGTTTGTGTTTGTGTGTGTGTGCGCTTTTCTATTCTCCGTCAACAAAGACAATCGGATCAGAAAGATGCTCGCTGGCGATCAGGTGTGCTGATGGAATACAAAGAGAAGGAGCTTTCACTCCGAAAGACTGCACGCCAAGGCCTAGAAATAGAGCCACGAGGTGGCGGCAATAAGCGAATAAACGACGCATTGACGACAACTCTAAAACAACAACAACAACAACTTTTTTTTTCTTTTTCGTTAGATTAATCTTTTCGAACGGACGCTTGGCATTCGGCCTAAACTTGGTTGAAGCAAGCGGCCGACAAGCGAAAGCCACAAAACGGAAGAGTTTCTGATCCGATCAACTGAAAGTTGAACTGTCTGTCCAACTATTTTGTTCTATGTGAAAAGGTGTGATGATATTTGTATAGGCCGAACTAGTCAAAAGGTGACTGCTTGTGTGGTTTGACTTTACTTAAACATTCAGACTGGACCTCCTCGAAATTGCTTTCTCAGACTGAGTCTGCGTCTTTCACACCAACTATCGGACATCACAACACCTAAACTACCCTGTAACAAATAAAGCCCGATAAAGTCAACAACAAGCATGCATACATACACAGGCACACAAGCCTACACATGAAAATAGACACATTAAACCGTTATAAAACTCGCTGGATTCGTTTTTAAAGAGTATATATTCCAAGTATATTCACGCGACTTATATTGAAGATGAGCTCGGTAAGGCGTGCAATACATCCGAAAAGCTGGGTTCTGCTACATACGAGGACGCTTGGCTGCGAGGAAGACTCGAAAGCTCATCATCCTCCGGTTGTCATGATTACAGGCCTCGAATTCGCTAAGAAATGATCGCACCTCGTTTTCGCAAACTGGTCGTGTTGCAAGCGTGAGCTTGTGTCTTTGACGAATTGTGGCGAGATGCTAATTACGGCGAGGCTGACTGACGATGCCAGCCAAAGGTGTGGGAAAATGTCAAGTTTACGGTCCGACGGTGGCAATTGTGACAGCTATTGTAGCAGAAGTCTTGGGACGAGGTGCATCCAATTAGGTCGCCCTGATAACACAGACAAGTTGCTTAAACGAGGT